AGATCACTCCACGGGTCCTTATTATAGACTTTATTAGGGGAGACTGATGAAAATTGAGGGTTGATTACCTTGCAAACATAGGGCCTAGACTTCAAAAACACCCTTACATTTCCCAGTTCAATACCACAGAATGATTGGCAGGCTGGACCTGGAGCAAGACAATTTGGGGTTCAAGCTTCAGCTGTGCTGCCTATTAGCCAGGTAAACTTAGGAATGGTTTAACATTTTTGAGCATCTGTCTAATTATCTGTGAAACTGAGATAACAAAGGTGCCTACCTTGTAGAGGTTATGTGACGACAAAATGAGGTGACACTCGTAAAGCACTCAATAGAGCATTCAGCTCCTTTACTCACTGTGTGTGTGTGTGTGTGTGTGTGTGTGTGTGTGTGTGTCCCCTTGGCCTTTTCAGAAGTCCCCTGTGGTGCTGTGTGGAGTCACTGTTAGCAATCACTCAGCACGCAGACCTCCAGCAGCCTTGGGGCCTCAGCCAGGAGGGCACAGGCAACACCTGGCTGACTTGGCAACAGCAGGGGAGGGCTTAACTGTGTTTCAATCAAGTTTCACCAAATTGGCAAAAAGCTTTGTCACATGTTTTATCAGGTACTTGACAAGCCTGGGGCAAGAAAGGAGAAGGCATAAAGGGAAAAAAGAAATAGAGTGAGCAGTGCAGATAATCAGGCAGCCTAGGACTTTGACACTGGCCCAGGTTGCTGTTCATGGAATCCAGGAAAGGTGACAGAGTTCAGGCCATTCACTGACCTGCATTCCTGATACTCAGGTGGGTCAGGAGGTGCAGAATGCAGACTCTCCAGCCTGGAGTGTCGTGTAACTCCTCTCAGCACTAGGAGGATTTGCCTGCATGTCCCAGCCCTCAGCCCCTACATCCCTATTCCTAATAAGGCCAGAAACAGGGAGGAAGCCAAAATGAAGCTCTTTCAAATACAGAGAGATGTAAACAATGCTATTGGTCTCCCCCATAAAAGACAATGCACATAGAAACAAATAATTTTCTATCCAACTAAGAATCTGGATGCCTTTTCTTCAGAGCAACAATCTGTCAGCAGTTCCTGCAACATGGAGGCTTGAGTCAGAGTGAACTCCAGCCAAGATCACCATTTGTAAACCCCCAAGGAGGAACTTCAGATTGGGTTGCACTCATGCCCTTTGACCTCACATTGGGCTAATTCTCAAGAGATATCTTTCTGGAATCATTCCATTTCATGTATGTGGGCCTGTCCATGGCTAGGCAGGGCCCACCATGCCCACATTGTCATCCTGTTTTTTAAACAATGCTTATTCACCTCTACATGAGAAATTCATGGGTTTGATCTCTTCATTCTATTAACTGCCATTTTTCTTAAGGAAATATTAAAACTGATTATTCCCCCCACCCCAGCCCAAAGGAAAATGGCTTTCCTGTGGGTGGGAAGAAGTATGGGGGCACTATATTTGTTTTACCTCCTTCAGTTGCCAGTCTTCCATGGGCTCCCACTTGCTTACTCTGTAATGAAGCCTGCTGCAGTAAGATTTACCAGCCTTCTTGAGGCTGGGGCACAATATGTTCATGGGGGCAGAAGGTGGAAGGTCCAGTTCTGACTCTGTCTTTACACAGTTCTTTCTAGGCAGACACTGCCTGTTCACATCACTTTTCCTTTCTGCATCTGTCCCCCTATTTGCGAATAAAAGGTTATACCCACTTATCCCTTAGGCCCTCTCCAGCCCGGAAATTGTTTTTGGAAATCCTAAGAAAACATTTATTCTTCCCTGTTAGACTTATTAAGTTTTATATCCTTCAGGAAACACAAGATGTACATATAAGAAAGCAGAAACCATATTTCAGAATGTCTTAGGGTTTTGAAATGTTGAAGCCTTAGCCTGCGAGTGATGGTTTAGAGATGTGGCCTTTGGGAGGTAATTACATTTTGATGAGGTAATGAGAGTGGGGCCCTCATGATGGGATCATTGCCCTCATAAAACACACCAGAGCATCTGTACTGTCTCTTTCTCTTCCCTTCCTCCCCACATCCAACTTTCCCAAGGAAAGGCTATGAGAGAAATAGCTGGCAGGTGACCATCTTCAAGCCTGGAAGTGGACCCGTGCCAGAAACTGAATTGACTAGCACCTTGATCTTGGATTTTCAAGCCTCCAGAATTGTAAGAAATAAGTTTATTGTTAAGCACTCAATCTGCGGTACTTAGTTATAGCTGTCCAAGTGGACTGCGACAGCCAGCATTTTCTAGGAGATCCACGGTGTCTTAGCCTTGGCTGTCTTCATGCAGAAGGAGGACTTACCCCCAGGTAGTCAGGGCAGCATGGAAGGTCCCATCAAAGATGGCAAAGCAGAGGTTTCGAGTGTCTCATTCAAGTGATAATAACCTATACTGTCACACAATTTCATGCATCATTGGTTTGTTAGGAGTAGAAACTGCCTGAACTAGACCACAAAATACTCTAAATAATTACATAGTAGGTAATCATGGGAAATGAATGACCATTTCCAGTCCTCTTTGAAAGAAGGCAAGGTAGAGTATGAAAGTATATTAATAAGAATTAAACCAGAAAATGGGAGTCTGCAGCAACAAAACTCATTCTTGGAGCATGTCATCTGTAGTACTGTAAGGATTTCCATAGTGAAGTTTTTAGCTCCACTGGAAATGACAGTGTAAGTGTCACCCTGAACAACATAGATCTGAAGCAGCATCATGTACATTCTTCTCCTTTCAGAACCGATTCAAATGTCACCTCTTCTAATGACTTTTTTAAATGTCATTTGAAAAGGACATTTGTATATTTTACATTCTGTATTCTCCTAATAGAATTTATTAATCTTTTCTCAGGGCTCTCATTGCAAGTCAGTTTTACTTTTATAAAGTACTTTCCACATCATACTATAGGAAGTTGAATATCCTTTCTGTCCTGCTAGATGGAGAACTCCCCAATGGCAAAGCCATGGACATAGAATCTGCTCAATAAAAACTTGAATGAATGAATGAATGAATGAATGAATAGATGCTTCTTTAAAGATCTCTTGTTTGTCTCAGACTTCCAGAGATACTTTGACTGGGATACCAGACAGAGGGTCTCTGCCTCCATCTGCCCATATATGATTCTAATGAACAGAAGTTAAACAGAGTCATCTTTTTGCCCTTAGAATCTTTAATCAGCCACAGGGACTGCCAGGAAACAGCCAGTAAGTTCCAAAGGTCACATGTGAAGTTCTGATGTTTTAATAATATTTGTCCTAACTGTTGTTTTGTCCATATTTCAAGTACTTCCTGATGTGTCTTTATCCTAAAACTGTTGACTGTTCATGGCCATCAAAAGACCATTATTACAGCATGGAATACCATGTAGCCTGTTTTCCTGTTTAGTATGACTCTCTTGTAGTTCATAGTCTTGACCAAATTATTTTTTCTTTTTCTTTTCTTTTTTTCAGTGTGGGTTATTGAACTCAGGGCCACACACATGCAATGCAAGTACTCCAAGTACTCTACCACTGAGTTATACCCCAACATCCACCAACTCCTTTTAAATAAAATCTATTATTTTGATGAAAATCCAAATGTTAAGTTGAATATAGACTCTGTAGCACAGTTTTCTATCAACTCCCAAATCTGTTGCATGGGGTAGAATGATAAGTCAGCAGATTTTATGTGAATGCTTCCCCATTGGTCTTTTATCCGTTCTTCTATTCTGATATCTAGCCTATGTTCTCCTCCTTCTGAGTCTTGATCTTGGTTGGCCTTTATCTATGTGCATGCTTCAAGGAAATCTCCCAGGGGTATGTAAGGTTAAATAGTTGAAACCTAACAAGACATCAGCAGTAGGCATATGTCATGGTGAAATAACAAAGAGTTAGTTAGACAAGAAACTTACCCTCTGATAGCACCAGATATTTCCAGAGTAGTGTCCTCAGATCTCACTACTGGATTTGATGTGGTGTGTGAGGGACAGAGAGGCATGAAGGATGGTGTCCCAGTTTTTAATGAGTAAATTTGTGAATGGGGGTCCCACCTACCAAGATGGAAATGAGTAGGGAAAAGCTACTTGGGGGAGGAAAAGGAGGTGGGGAGGCAAGCAAGAGAAGTATTACCTAGAAGGTGAGATCCTAAACCTGTGTCTACCAGAGTATTAACTAGCACATAGAAGCCGCTCATTAAACAATAAATGAATGGATAAAACAGATGGGTAAATGAAGGATGGAAGGGAGAGACAGAAAAGGAATTTAAAATTCTATAAAATACGAATAACACTTGGCAGAATGATATGATGGTGAAAACCCCAGGCTCGGATTTCAACAAACTGGGTTCCAGGCTCAGAATATATTTCCAAACCTCAGATCACTCCTGCTAGCTTCTGTTCTGGGACCTCCCGCCTCTTTCCTCCTCTGTTGGAAAAGTGCTCACATATGTATTCATCACAGACACCAGGTTCTGCTTCCCTGTGCTAAGTGCCAAGGACCAGCGAACAGCCAATCAGGGAGGTCCTCTACTTTTGCTGCAGGTGGGGCGGAACTGAAGTCCCTCTGCAGACACAGCTTCCTTTACTGCCAGTCAGCACACAGGTCTGACCGCACCTCTCTTCCTACTATATGCACCTCAGCATCCCTCCAGTTGTTGTGAAGCCAATGCCCCAGCCATCCAGACAAATTCCAGCAAGTCAGCTGACTGGGAGGGACAGTCTCACCCCTGAAGAACACTGGTTTAAGCGAGAAGGGGATGAGACTAGTTCACTCCACTTACTTGAGCTGACTGACCCACTAATTGCTCTTACAGAGCCTTCAGGCTGGTTCCTACAGAGAGTCACAAAGCAAGAGGAGAGCAATTAGTGGGAAGAATACTTTTTAAAAGTCACCTTCACAATCATGGAGGGCACAGTGTAAAATGAGAAATACCTGTGGCAGTACTGTAAAACAGCTGCGGGGCAAGCACCTCACTGCTATTTCACATATTATGTGGTTTTCACATATTAACTGCTTTTGTACTGGCTCTTTCACAGGTTTGAGGGTACAGAGCCTGCCTACATCAACCTCCTTACCTGTTTCTCTTCCGGCAAAAATAACCCCACCGGCCTCCACCTGGACCAGCTCTGCACAGAACCCTGTGACCCTCACTGCGTCCCTAGCCAGTGGCGTTCACAATACCTCGGTACTCCCAGTCACAGACATAGCCCCGACATCTGCACTGCCCAAGCATGTGTCCATTGAACCCACAGAAGAAGCAATCACCAGCCCATCCTCGAGCTGGGAAGGCACAAACCCAGGCCCCTCGCTTCCTGGGTTCTTATCAACCAGCAGTGTGGTACACGTGACACCCACACCCGAGGAACACAACTCCAGCAGTCCTGAAGTAAGCGTGCCAGCTGAAGGGTCGCAGTCCCCTACATCCCTCTCCCCTCAAACTCTGGCCTCTTCACCCTCCTCCTCCTCATCCACCTTACCACCTGAGATCCTTTCTGCCTCTGTCACCTCCAACCACAGCACCACTGTGACCAGCATCCAGACCACAGGAGCTCCAGCTACATCAGAGTCCCCAACAGAGGAGCACAGCTCTGGTCACACGCCTACTTCCGGGGCCACAATGGAGCCAGTGCCCAAGGAGAAAACACAGCAGGAAACTGAGCCCAAAACAGTGATATGCGAGTCTGAGACTACCACCACCTTCCTGATCATGCAGGAGGTAGAACATGCGTTAAGTTCAGGTGAGTCTCCATCTAGAAAACACAAGTGTTCTTGCCCATGCTGAGATGTTAAGAACCCATTCTGTTACCCAAACATGACTCCGTTGGAGTTTTGGAGTGTGACACCTGAAGGTAATGATAACTTGCAAGAATTTCCACAAGAATGCAAATGTTAATCTTTGTCACTTGATAATTTCCACATGACATATTATGCATTAGAGCTGATGATCACCTACCTGTTTTGTCTTCTTGTCTTCTTACAATGTCACAGAGATTATAAATGAGTGATGCTATAGAGTGAGAGGATTAACGACATGACCTTGGGTCAAGCTTCCTAGATTTCCACTCTGACTCTGGACCTTGAGCAAGTGACTTCATCTCTTTGTGCCTTTGTCTTTTCTCACATGTAAAATGGGCACAGAATAGATTCTACTGCATAATGTTCTTGAGGAGATAAAATGAGTTTTTGACATATAAAGTGCTTAGAATAGTTCCTGGCAGGGAGTAAGTGCTCAGGAAATATCAGTTATTATTCCGCTCAGTGTTTTAAAGAAGTGTTTACCTCTTGGAAACGAGTCGAAGTAGGGTAGAGATGGAGAGAACTTGCTTATTCTTTATTGTCACTGATGTAGTTCATGGGAAAGGCAATAAATTTTACAGGGAATCGCATTTGTTTTTGTTCTCCCAGCAACACTGTAAAGTTATTATTTTTATCTTCATTTTGCAATCTTGGAAATTCTGATGAGCAATATTTAGGGTCTTTTCTGAGGCTACATGTATCTGCCACCAATGTGAAACTGTAAATTTTAGGGTGTGGGATGGGAAAAGGCTTTCATGGGAGCGAGGGCTTGGTCGTTTGGCTGAGATAGAGTGAGGCGAGAACAGCCAGAAGGTGAAGGGGGCAATGGAGCAGCAGCTTCCCCTGGGTGGGCCCGTGACAGGCACAGCTACCCAGAATATTCTGGACAGGCGAGGGTCAAATGAAAGGCTGTCACTGAGAAGACATCCACAGCTTTTAACAATAAATGAGCACTATGAATAAAAACCAAGCTGGACAGTGTGGCATGAAGACAGAACTAAGATTAACAAAGACCTGATTCCTCCTGGAAGAGTCCACACTGCGGTAAGGGAAAAGTCCCAAAGAATTGTAAATTCGTATTTCAAAAGGCTCAGAATATCAGTGAGGGTCCCAACAAGAGAGACACTCAAACTGAGATAAAGGAACGAATTACAAAATCTGGCAGGGGAACAGGGGACCCACAGGGGGTCTTGATCACAGGACAGTCAGGCCTGAGAGGGAAGAAGGGAGTAGTGACCAGAACCCAGAAGGGGAGAGGCCTGTAGAAGACTGTCTTGATGGGAGCAGTGACTCCTGGTTGAAGGACACCTCTGTTCCAAGGTCAACTGCCTGTGAAGGGAGCACTCTGCTCTCCCTCTCCCTCTCTGATTTGGATACAGAAACCAAGAAAGCTATTAGTAGTCCCAACAGGTCAGCCTCCTAGATGACTGCTCACAGAAGGGTTGGGGGTAGAACTGCAGAGGCCAAAGGAGGTCATCTAGTTCCCATCCCCTTGGTACCCTGTTTATACCTGCAGGCCAGCACTTAGAGCACTACCATGAATGTGTGCCTTCCGTCTCTGTCTCTATCCTACCCCCAACCCCCACCCCCAGCCCCACCACCATGACCCCACCTCCACCCTCCCTCTCATCATGCGAGTAACATCTGTGGCTTAGAGGGGTGCCTGGAGCAGAGTGGGAGTCTTAAAGACTCTAACAAAGTGGACATCCAAGTATGGCCTTGTAGACATGCCCCTCCCCATCGCTATTCTCTTTCCTGGTTCAGTCTTCTACTACCACCTGTGTGTACTACTTCCATTTTCCAACTGGTCTCCCTCTCCCTCGTTCCACTCTCTGTCCCCTCCAACATAGTCTAGACATGGAAGATCAATAGTCCTGAACAAAAAGTCTGAGCTTGGCATATTCAAATCCTCATAATCTGACACATCCATTCCTTTCTACAAGTACTCTGGTTTCTTGAATTTTTTTTAAGAGCTCTGTTCTAATATTTCATCTTGATTTTTAGGCCACACATCTTGATATCTCCAACTCAGCTGGGTCATGAGGCACAAACTTAGTGGCAGGATTGGGCCAGGAATCTCTGTAGTTCTAGAGAACTTGCACACAGCAGGAACTCCAGAGAAAATGAATAAAGGAATGCTTGCATGGATGGGAAAGAGATCATCATGGCAGGTGAAGGGGAGATAACTGAGCATGGACCAGTGTGCATTTCACAGCCCAGAGAAGATTTATCCCTTATGATATAGTAAAGAAAAGAAAGCTTATTGTGCTTGATGCAGAGTATAAGTCCTGATCTTTGAGTTTTTGAGTTTTCCATAGTTTAAGGAGAGAAAGGACACAAGCACAAGGAACTCTTGACACTTCCTTAGTTTCTGACAATGAACTGAGATGGGTGGAAGGATCTTTGGGACAAAGTGGTACAATCTGTTCATTTCAAAGTTTCTTCAAACTGTGCCCCGGAAGTCTGAAGTGTCTTGTTCAAGGTCACACAGTTCAGTTGCAGAGATGGCCCTAGAGCCAGATCCCTAACCCACAGTCAAGTCACTGTCACCACGCAGCATTGCTGCACTGCTCCCCCTGAGAATCTGCCTCCAGGATCTGGGGATGTTCTTATTCAGTGACTTGAGTGCTGTCTCTGGTAGGGGCAGCGTAAGACCAAACTTTTGCATGATCATCTGGCTTATTCCAAGTGGGTTCACACAACATATTTCTCTTAACCAAGGACTCATCTTCTCAACAAATACCAGAACATGGTCATCAGTGAATAATTTTGAAGCAAGACAAATGCTTTGGATGCTAAGCCTGACTACAGGGATTGGGAAGGCTCCCTAGTGGAGGGAGCTAGGAGCTGAGCTGCAGGAGATAAAGGGAATTAGGGCTTAAGGAGAGCAAAAGGGGATTTTAGCAAGGATATTTCTTGTGCTTCTGTGTGAAGGTGAGGCTCAGGGGCATGACAGGTAATTCTGCACACACAGTGCTACAGAGAATCCACCACCCCCGCCCCCTGCCAGTTGTCAGCCTGTAACCACCCTTGGTGAGGAATCAATGCCTTCTACATTTCCAGTTCTGGTGGTTAATTCTCAGGCCTGGTTTCAGCAGACCTGTCAGCAGCCATGGACCAGGACAGTTATGGTGACTGCCCTCATCTTTAAAGCACTGCCTCCACTAAAGTCCTGGACAAGTTCTGTCTTGGTCCTTCACCTATTCTGACCTCTGCCTCACTTCTCCCCCTCACCCTGCTGCACCGTCCAGGTTGAGCAGTCCAGGGCCACCACTGTCTTCTTCCCTCCACGATCTCTTCATCTTAGAGTTTCCCTCCCTCTCCTCTCTCCACACTCATTCTTGAGATGATTGCACCCTGGTCCATGACTTTAAATGACATCTGTATGCTGATTCCCTGTTTTATATCATTGAAATCATATGAAATGAGTTCCTCACCTCTCAGTGTGCTCCTCCCTCTCTCCTGCCCTTTTTTCTTTCAGTTCCTTAGGCCAAAACCCTGGCAGTGATCCTAGACTCCTTTCTTTCTCACATACTCCCCATCTGACCCATCAGCTCTACAAGGATCACTCCTCACCCTTCCATTATCTCTCAAGTGGATTACTCTATCATTCCTGTAACTGGTCTCACCACTCACCACACCCTGTCAGAGAGAGCCTTTTAAAACTCACAGGACTTTAGGGTCTGTTTGATGTTTGTCCTGAACTCTGCATTGCTGTCTGATAACCAGCCTCAGCTGCCTCCTAGTCAGAGGAAGAGTTCAGAATCCAAATGCTCCTCTGACCTTGACCTCTTTTTCCAAGGATGTGGCTGGTATTCATGTCAATCTTCATATCTGAGCTCTACAAGGTCAAAAGTGAAGGGAGGGCTGCCTTGTTAGGCTGATGCCTGTGTGGCCAATTCAGCAGCCAATATCCAGATGTGGCTTTTGAACATATGAAATGTGTAGTCCCATTTGAGATGTTCTGTAATAGTAAAATACACACTGGATTTCCAAGACCTAGTACTAAAAGAAGAATGGAAACAATAATTTTTAGATTGGTTGCATGTTGAAATAATAACATTGGGGTAAATAAAAACTTTTTTTTAATAAAAAACTCAGAACAGATTCTGCTGCTCCTTGGCTATAACTTCTATAATTGCTTCCCCTCTGAATCAGAGTAAAGGGCAAAGTCTGTTTTGTGCCCACAATGCTCAGCATGATCTGAACCTGCATGGCCTCTTCTTCCACTCTCAAACATGCTGGCAATCTTTCTGTTTATTGAACATACAAATAATACTCCTGCCTGGGCCTTTGCACTTATTGTTGCCCCTGCCTTAAACATTCTGTCTCTCCAGACCTTTAATGGCTCTCTCCTATTCATTGTCAGGACTCTGTTTAACAAGCCTTTATTCACTTCCTTATCTGAAATAGGAACCCCATCATTGTTGGTCCCTCTGCCTCATTTTATTTATCTTTTAATTGCTTACTATTTTCTGACTTCATCTCCTTTATAAGATAAGTGCCTGTTTTCTATCACTGGACTGTCAGGTCCATGAAAGCAGTGGCCTGTTCACAAAGAGGAAGATGTAACTTATATCCTCAGCTTCTAGAACACAGCCTGACCCACGGTAGGCTTTCAGTAACATTCGTTGAATCAATGAATTGAAGAATCTATCAGCTAGTATCAGGGAAGTTGTTTAATCTCTCTGAACCTATTTTATCAGTCAGACAGAATAGGGCCAGCATCAGCATGATGGAGTTATTCTAAGGTTTGGATGAGATAATAAATTTCACTATTAAGCAGTGGTTTAATCAATGACTGTGATTCATATTTTACTACTATTCACTGTTATTATTGTTGCTGCTATTTTGTTGTAGTAGTTATCATCATTATTATATTCACCATGAAGAGAAATACCCTCCATCTTTAACACTGAACTTTCACTATGAGCTGAGCATC